CCGCACATGGCAAGGATACGCGAGTAATTCCATCGCTGCAAATCGGATGGATAAGGTTTAGTGCACGAATATCTCGGTAAAGAAAGACACGTGATCTCGTTTTCTACTTCATCGAGAGACGGCAGGGACGACGCGGACTCGCAGAGTATCAACATAACTACGCGGTTAAAGGTAGATGTCGCGTGTAGACGTTGATGTCTATCAGATACTCGAACGCGATTCAGAGTTTCTATGGGTTTGAAGCACGACATACGATGGAATTAATCCTGCGAAAATGGAAGAAGTTTTGTCAATCTGCTGTTTGAAGCAAATCTCGAAGAATCAACAAGGAGTGGCACACGGCGGTTGACCATACGCCTCAAGATACCGCTTGAGCCACAGAATAAACCCCCTTCGAATTAATCAAGCTGTGGAGTGGAGCCTTGGAGACGCCCATTCTGAATGCCTAGGAAGCCAGCAAAGCCATCAACCAGAACAGATCGGACCTCTGCAGCCACACAAAATGATAACCGCGGGCTGAAGGTTTGATTGAGAGATTTATCGTTGGGCGTCAAAGAGGGTCGAGGTTAACACGATGAGCATCAAGCGCCCTTTTCCATACCCGCAACTTGCAAGCTCCGCGGAAGAGCGAGAGACTCTGCTCTCTTTTCCCCGATCTGTCAACTTCCCCATGGTCGATACATCTTTGTCCGAATTCCTCAAGACTCGGTACGGTACTCCGGAAATTATGGCTTGTTTAACCTTCTCCTGACGGTCTCGCCAGGCAGCATAATCTCGGGATGTTCTTAATTGTCGAGAGTGCGGGATAACTTTGCCAACGACGAAGAGATTCGCCTTTGATTTGTCGATAACTTGCATCTCCGTTTCCTTGAACCTTGGAATTCTCACTCTCATTCGTATAATGATTGAGAGATTTTCTGAAAAAAAAGCATCAGCGTGTGGCTTTCGCGGAATGGAAATTTGGCGATCAAGGGTATCTGAGGACCTGATGATGGTTGTGCAGCAGTCATCTTTCAGCGAATTGGCTGGTGAGCATTGAACAAGCCTTGCCCTTGGTTGACCGGGTTTTGATGCAGCCACTGCCAAGAAGTAAGAAAGGAAAACACCCTCTCGCGGAAACATTTAACCTCCCGCCAGAGTTCTGCACTGACTCTCGCTGAATCATCCGTCTGCGGGAGGCTTTCCCCGTTTCCATCCACACGGGAAAATGCGAAACATGGCTGACACAAATACAGAAGCAAAGGAAATACGATTACGGGTTTTAAACCATTTTTATTACGACCAATTCCTGCGGCTAATCTGAATTGCTGGGGGAGGAGTTCAGCGCGATTCATTCGTACCAGTCTTAGAGATCACGCCAAAAACGCGGGTTCAGTCCCCGCCAGGAGAAAGGGATCCGAATATGTCGCTTGTTCGTGCAATTTTACCGATCATTCACAGGATATTAGCAGAGCCCCTCTCAGATCGATCTTTTGGAAAATCGATTGGCAGTGCATTCTTGCAAGGACCATGCTTGAACCAACAAACATTTGTCGCTGGCCTTCCCTCATTTTCAATGTTACGGCCCTGGTCAGCCAAGATTTACGCTAATGTACAGATGAATAGGGGTCAAAACCCTCGGTACGAATACACTTCCTTAGCAAGACGTGTGGTTCGGTAAAAGGTCTTCCCACTCCGGTCCCGTTTTAGATGATGGAGTAAGACCACTCCTCCCCCTCTTAAGGAGTGTTTGACCCCTGGAAGATTTGGGATATTTTGCACGACTTTTCAGATACGTAGTTAAACTGTAAAAAGCATTTCCAGACGAAGCTTTTGGCGATGCCTATTCTGCTTTCAAGACTCAAGGGAACGTCCAACTGTTCAGCTTATTCGTGCGAATAAATACAAGCGCGGAAATTTGTCGATGACCCTTGCATCGCAACTTGTGGATCAGTTGAATCCCACGTGGCTCGGTCGAGCTCTCGTCGTTTTGGTTTGTTGGATGACCGGTCGCTGAGGCGCTGGCTCCCGATTCTAAGGTATCCGTCAGACTGTCAGTCAAAGCTCTCCAGCTGGGAAATGTGGTCGATGCGTCCTCGACCTTACCGAAATCTCGGGCGTCTGGGGAAGGGAAAGGTGGGTGACTTGTGAGTGATATGCATCTCGATCATGAAAGAAGGAAAAGATGCAAAGCCGAAACTTGGAAGGAATAAATTTAACTTTTGGAATGGTTGCGGCAAGGATGGATAGTCTAACCCGAATTAGACAAGTGGATATGCAGCTTTTAACCTCAAATTTAAGCGGTTGACTCCACAGAAGATTCCCCTTTGTCCTTTGACTCTTTGGGGGGCGGAGAGACCTCGAGATATAAAGTGTCGACCACGCGACCTCGTTGTCGCCAGCTACCGAGACACATCGTTCCTAGTTTGGAAGGTGCGTGAAAGCAACTCCTGCGGAATCCTAGGACTTCCAGGCGCTATTCCTTTGAATCTCTTCGTGGTGACGTTTTTTCCTTTTTGAAAACCATCAGATACTCCGCGAACCTTGTGAGCATATACAAACTTACGTTCGGTTCTACATCAAGATACTTCGGCAATAGTGGCTGGAAGTCAGCTGGACAAATCGCTCCTCACTTCTCAGTTTAACGGCAGCGAGGTCAACGGATCACGGCAAAAAGACACAGGGATATTGAACCGAGCAATCGATTATCTTGACCAACTCGCAGGGATCTGGTATTCAGCAATTACCCCTTAATAATCTTATTTCATCGCCATGTCAAAAGTATTCAGGATCGTGACTGCTCAAGACAGGGAGCAATCGACGATTCTCGTCTCCAGAATTCTCTCCTGAAATCGACAACTTGTTCTGCTCTCTCCCGCTTGACTTGTTGATGACTTGAAAACGGTCGAAATCCGGTGAAAGGATCGAAGGTTTGGAATTTTCACGAACGGCCCCAGTGGGTCAAGTCAGTTGCACCCGATGCAGGACAACCTGCATCATATGCCAACCCATCTCGACATATTGTGCGGCGACTATTATTGACGGGCCATCGTCTCAAACTCGGGTGCAATTATTAGAGCTGCCGAAAGGTTTATCGCTCTTGGCCGTCGGCTAAATATCTACATGATGTATCGGGCTCACAACTACCATATCCTCATCTATGCAGCGATGCTCGCTGGACAGTTCAAGGTTGCCCTGAACACGGCCGCCCGCCTGGAACACGCGATCCCAGAAGACTTGCTGCGCATCGAACCTCCACCGATGGCTATGTTTCTAGAATCCTTCGTACCAATGCGAGTCCACATTTTTGTTCGCTTTGGAAGACGAGAGGGGATAATTGATTTAACTGTTCCACAGGATCAGGTCCTGTATTTCATGACCACCACGTCTGTTGACTACTCCAAGGTCATCGCGTTCGGTGTAAGCTCGAGGAGGCAACCAAGGAGCGAGAGCTCTTTGGCAAGGCCTTAAAGCTTGTCCCACCTACACGCATGCTGCACAATAACACATGCGTTGACATCCTGGCAGTCGCGGTTGCCATGCTAGACGGCGAGCTCGAGTACCGTCGAGGAGATGTGGACCTCGCATTTCAGTACGTTCACCGGTCCATTGACCTTTACGATAAACTTCCATACGACGAACCTCGAGGTTGGATGCAGCTCGCTCGACATGTATATGGCGCCCTTTTGCTAGACCAAGGGTTTGTCGCAGAGGCAGCGGAAGTATATGATGCTGACCTTGGGATTGATGATATCATACCGCGCGCCAAACAGCATCCGAACAACGTGTGGTCGCTGCACGGCTACCTTGAGTGCTTGGTAAAACTCGGGCGCCAGGCAGCAGCGAGCATTATCCGCCCCCAACTGAGGTTCGCTACCGCTACCGTAGATGTGAAGATACACTCGTCTTGCTTCTGCAGGCTGAATACAAGCACTATCGGAACCGGCGCAAAGGCTTAAGTCGTTCCACTGATACAGAGCTCCGACAAGAATGCCTAAGATAACGGGAAAGTGTTTCTTTCAATTGTGTAAAGTCTCGCTGCAAAATACTTGTTAATCCTGTAGCATATATTCTGACATCGGTGTACTATTATGCGTGTCCATCCTGACGCATCTCAATAATAGGGCTGGCAGCGTTCACTGTTAAACATCGTAATAACTTTTGATTACTTTGCGTCCTTGTAGTTTATGATCGCGACTACAGAGAACATGCCTCGCTGCAGATATAGAGTAAGAAGGAACTGGGCACAGGAGTGACGAGTTCTTTGATTTACTGTGCCCGTAGTCAAGTTTCCCCAGCTCTCAGGCAATTTTAATCTACAGGATGGCCTCTACTCGAGTAGCGAAGGAACCTCCTAATAATATCGCCAGAAAAGAAAGAGGTTGATTCACTCGACTGATCAAGTTGATTTCGTGCAGACGAGGTCCGTATGATATCATGATGACTAACGATAATTTGCGATAAGCTAGATCCAGTTTACCTGCTGGAACAAAAATGCATTGACAGAAAACTGCGAGTCTACGTTATTCGCGAACGAAGTACGCTATTCTGTCGTATCTCGAAACTACGGAAACTCATTCAATCTATCAGTTCTATTTCATATCAAAGTTATTGTAGTGGGGTGGATGGTACAAGGGGGTGAAGATGACTCAACGGCAGGAATATTAGTTGTTCCACGCGAGTCCGGTTATCGTTGTTCCGTCTCATCGAGCTTCTATTCGAAGGCCCCCAAGCCAGACTTGCATGTAGATAGCAACCAGCCAGCCAATATAAAAACACTTGCCGCGTTCAGAGATTCCCTTTACAGTGTATCGAGAGGTATCGCGGGAGATAGTGTTAATACTGTGACCGCGTGCGCAGTATATCGAGCTTGGTAGACTGTGGTTTTGTGATTGTTGTTCTTCCTGCTTCCCACGCTTCGATCCGCCCACCACCTGGGCCATACCACATCCCCCGTTTCAATAGACTATACGCAGGGGAAAGTAGAGATCCAAAGAATATATTTAAAAAAAAAAAGTAATTGCCCCAAGGCGGATTTGAACCACCGGCCTCGCCATGTGCTTTTTAACAATACTGAGTGGAAGTTAGTGTTTGTTTTACATACATACGTTAGAGAGTGTATCTTACCAAGTGGCGCGCTCTACCCCTGAGCTATCAGGGCATGGTATGAAGTACCAGTTCTCAAACTCTGGATGCTCTAAGAGAATCCTAGCCTTGTCGGAGTAATGATTTAACTTCTCGAGAGCTCTGTTTAATAATCTCAATCACGTTATTTTCTTCTCCTCTAAAACTGCCTTAATCATTGTAATAGTAAGTATTACTAGTAGTAATAGGGGTTCTATTTTCTGTCTCAGAAACTATTCGCTGCTACTTCTTCGAGGACTTTCTACCTGCTTGCCAAAGTTGTCTTTCGCTATGGGAGTATTTTATATTAATACAACATTAGCTCCATTCCCGCGATGGGCGGCAGCCCTATGGAAAACTGACGTAGAGGCACGGGAAGCGGTCCAAAGCGATGTAGCTATCCCCGTTGACTGGCTCAAGGGGCTATCGTGTCTGGGTGTCACCGGCGACCGATGCTTCAGCGTTGGCAAACAGGAAGTGATTATGGATGGTATAATTCACTCACAAGAAAGACGTCACCCGCCTCTAAATATGCTCCCCAACGTACGTCGCGCTCTTCAAACGCACCCCGCGTTATCGGGATCGGGGGGGCAGTTACCGATATTAAGTCAAGGGAACGCAGGATTCCAACGACAGTGCCATCTATCAGTCATGTAATCTGAGCTTCGTTGAACCGGCCGGCTCAATCGAGCCATCTCGTCTGATACCCTTTTCTCTTCTCATCCCCGCGACTATATTACTTCCGGGATCAAGAATGCAAACCACTGCGCAGTGAATGGCAAGAAGACGAGACGAAGAAAGGTGAAACCATTCAATTGGACAGTTAGGTAGAGGGTTATATCCATGACCTTTATTTTATATCGCCTGCAAATACCCGAGAGCACGATCTAACGAACGTCACCACCTATCGCCAGGCATGCACTACACCAGTGGTGATATACAGGGAACCAAGTTTAAAGTACCAAACATCTCCCTTACGAGTGGAAAGAAAACAGAAGTTGGCCAAATAGAGAACCTCTTCTATCGTAGATTTACAAAACCGTGGACGGTGTGAGAAAGCTCGAACATTTCGAAATTCTAGAGTTGGGGTGGAGTATTCGGGGTTTACCGATCTCCTCGGGTACTCGATTATACCTTGCAGAGAACATGATATATCCTCCCAACGCAAGGGGGCGTTATTGACTCGGATGGCCGCGCTTATGAGACTAAAAATCCAGGTTGATTGCGTGATTCCTGATGACAGTGATGAAAGCCTCAAGTGGGGCGCGGAATGCTCGCTTATATCGAAAGCATATATCAACGACCCGTCACCTTCCACTTCTGTGCTGATATCTTGTATTTCTACTTTTTTCGGTCTGTTGTTGCCCACGTGCAATAATGCCCGTAATATTATGATTTTATCCATCATAAGTAACATTTCCTTTGCGCACAGAATTTCATTCTCATCATCATCATGAATGAAAAATTCAAATTCAAGTGGGGAAAGAATCGCTTTTGTATACGCTATCTACGTTTATTTTTGCTTTATATTCGGAAAAGTTCACCAGTGAACGCTTTCCATATCGTTAGAGTGGAAACCATCAGCCATAGAAGGGTGACCGTGGTACCAAGAATCTAGACAGCACAACGTTAGCCTTGGGAACACCATACTGAGAAGAGCTGAACCGAATGACTTACGGTCCCGATTACTGCAAAGAACTCGGATTCGAATTCCGTCGCAAACATATATGTTGCGGTCGTGAAGACTCCTGATCACACTAATTAGCCAATCGATAATCGCAGCACGGGGGTAACGGTTTCACCAACCTAGCGGGAAAGTGAAAGCCCACCATCCCAAATTGAAGGGAAACTTCCCCTGGCACAGTGCCATCAGGGCGAAAAATATCCAGATCAAAGCAAAGCCCCACATGATGAGACCGACCATGAAGGAGGAGGCGTAAAAGACCTCTCCTGCCGTGGGGGATATGAAGTGGATGTGCGGGAACAACTGCTTCGCGACCTTGCCTAGTTGCATGATCCTTTTACCAACCAGTCAGCGCTTATTCCAGACAACGCTTGGATACTGCCCTTCTTACCCAAAGCTTCCTTGTCCCAACGGACCTAGCGGCAAGAAAACGCTGACTATAACCTGCTTTGGAGGCACCTTATGGAAAGCGAGACGTTGGAAATATACAACAATGACTACCACGGCGAGGGGCACACCAGTTCCCCACAGGATGTATGAGGCGATGATGGTCCATAGAGCGTGTTGCTTGTTTGTCAGAACCTCCGCAACCACTCCCCCTGAAGCCGCCACGACAACATTTGCCACGATTGGGAGAAGCCATGCTGCGGTCATGATCTCTAGTTTTGTTTCATGTCTCGAGATTCTAGGGATCGGATCTGGTCAGCCGTGTCTTGAACCCATACTCGACGCCGTGAGCTCGGGAAACCTACAAAATCCAAGGGATGATGAAGCAGGTTGCGACTGAAAAGACAACATCAATCCACCACAAAGCCCACGCCAATTTCCTTGCTGGCTCACCCCATGCCGGTACGCAGATATAAACCACCAAATTTACGATCGTTGCTAGCCCCATGGGGAATGTTCCCGTGAACAGCGACTGAACAGGGTGGTTGATCATCTGCATAAACTTCTCGGGCCACACTGTGTACCGTACAACCGACAAAAAGAGAAAGAGGCAGAATAGGAAAACGTTCAAGGCGAATATGCAAGTGGCGATATAATGCAGCCCATTGAATTGGTGCGGAAGTTTCTCTAGTAGGATGGCAGTGATCCCAGTTCCCATGTTCACAGCGAACCAGCTATCTTAATGTTAACCTCGCTATGTAGGAAAAGTTTTAACTCGAAGGGGGCCACATACGCTGGTAAGAAATTCGCTACCACAGGCCATTCATGTCTGAACTCCGGGTTCACCTTGGGCTCGCATTCCTGTGAGGAACTACTATCTGGGAAGTCATCAGTGGCCTCACCGGAGGCCCGTTTCTCTATATCAGCCATATCCAAACCGACCAACAAGAACTGAACGCAATGGGGAATCTATATATGGGAACAATAGATTAATGGACAGACAGGTCTTTCATGAAGGAAATCTTAGCATCGGGTACGACGGTCTCTTATATATCGCCGAACTGAAGGCTGGATATTTTGTCTCGACATCTAACACTACCAAACATCCTGTACAGGCATAGCAAACGGAAGAGAAGACCCATTCCGGGGTATCAGAATTTTCCCATTCATCCTTCAACCTTGGTCCCACCGCAACTTCCATCGCTGCTAACTGATCACTTCACTCGGCTCTCAGTTCTATTCCTTTCTCCTCGGCCGAATGCATGTCACGACGTTCCAGGACGTCCGAGCCCGATCTGACAAATGCCAAGTCTAGATCAAACTTTCTCATACACACAGGCGGTGGCTGTCGTTTTCTGCCGTTGCGGATAGAGCCGGTCCATCCAGTCGAACCTTGCCGAATCCCGGTCTTGCAGAACGCAACATCTTTTCCCCAACATCTATTTTCATTCCCCCGAGACAGAAAATTCGTATACTTGCGTATACACTTTCATGTGTACATTCAAACCTTTCACCCCTTTACCCGTGAGGTATCAAAAAGGTGTAAGGAAGGACCATGCGGATTGGTCTTAGCATACTATCGGAATCTTGCTCGGGACCGTCCTGTCTCGGGGAAATTTAGTCCTCCGGAATATTTTGTTTCCGCGGGCGCTTCCGACGTCGTCGCCGAAAGGCTAACGCTTGCAAAGGATACAGTCCAGGGGCTATTGTAGGGATTCTGGAACATATCATGCCGATGCATCATTATGTGCACGATATCCCCGTTCTAGCCGGGATTGGCGGCGCCAGCTTGAAATCTGGGGAAGTTGAGTGATATATCTCAACCTCGTAGTTTCCCCGCATAGTGTGACTCCACAAGGATACGATACTTGCAAGAGGGAAGTTTCATGATGGAGAGGGCGTCCGGGGATGCAAAAAACCACGTACATCCTGACATATGATAATCCTCTCAAGGTTTCCCAATTACTTCCCTCGAGGGAGTCCACCACATGCTCAGAAGAAAATTGAGGGGATGCGTCACAAAATATGATGGTGGTGACTTTTTTTAAACACATCTTACAGATGAGAAGTTTGCTTTTAGTCATATTTTCTTAAGAAAGGAGTGGAGATTCAATCTAGAATATGAAAACTAGAGAAACGCTTTATAATCATCAATACCGGTGAATTCAACGGTCCAAAATTCCTATCACAGATGGGTAATGAGGGATCCACGCATCCTATGATGTTTCGTAACTCGTTCATCTGCACACCCCCTATCGCCTTCACATGCACCCATCCTAAGACCTCTCGGCCAACGCAGCTCTCCTCGACTTAGAGTTCTGCACATCTAGATATGGTGCTTCGCCTAAACTGCAAACACGGTCACCGGCCCTCGCTTCTGCGTAGTCATAAGTTGCACAGTGCCAGTTGGACCGATTATCCCAGATAGCAAGGTCGTTCTTGTTCCACTTAAAGCGGACTTGGGCATCGTGGTTTTGGGTCACAAGCTGTACAGAGCAGAGTTAGTGGTTCCTTTCTTAGCGACGGTTTCTCGACTCGAAATCATAGCAAATGGTGAAGCTCACGTTGAAGAGGTAGTTTAGCAACATATCTGACTCATCCTTGGTGACGCCGTTGATACGCTTCGTGAATCCCTTGTTGACGAAAAGAGATTTCCATCCGGTAACAGCTGTGTGTATCTCATCAGTCCCACCCGCGGGAAAGAGATGGTTGGGGCAAAAACATACGATTTGTTCTGATCACAGGATGCACCGCGGTCAACGCAGTTCCCACATTCAGGGGTGACCCCCGAATCCCCTTCCTCAACGGATTTCCCAACCTCGCAGCCTCATCGTGAAAGAACGTCGCATCATGCGTCGCCGTCAAGCCCTCCAGAAACTTGGCCATCTCAGGAGATAACCGATCATAGACCTCGTAGCCAGATGCCCAGAGTGTATCTCCACCTGTTTCAGGGAGAGTGTGGATTT